TCTGGTACCAATTTGTCGACCCTAGAGGGATGGAAGGCTTGGTGGGCCAGGGGTTCGGAGACCTGTCCCATGCGTATTTCAGGGCGTCTCCAACCACTGCGCCACATGTGCCTATATTATTTATCTGGTGTTAATTCTTCTGCAAAAATTAACTGGCATAGCAAAATAGGTTTGTGGAAACAAGTGGAAGCGCCATAATACTCTTTTGATATTGATTTGTGAAACTGTAACCATTTTAAATGCAATTGTATTTCTTAAAACTAATGTCCCGCATTCTTCTTACTGCTGTAAGATCAAATTCGAAACTGACTGGACACCTCTCCAAGATAACAACCGCCGAACAATAATTACGCTGGTGCTCCCGCTCACTCCATTGTCAAGTTTCGTTCGACCGTCTTCCATTTCGGAAATTGAAAACCATGGAAAAAATCGCCTGATTACCTTAGATGAAGTTTTCATCGTCCTTCGCATGTTTTCTTAAGTTTTGGTTTTGGACGCTAAGCGCACAAGCGGTTAGAAGCGCCACACCTATATCATTAATAGTTACTTGGAAACCTACTTACTTGGACCTCCCACATCATTAACAACAAAAGAGAATGCCGTGATGGGTTTCTTCCATCTAAACTATGGGAGCGAAATTTTGTGGGAGCACATCACTTTCCTATAGAGTTTTTTTTTCAAGTTGTGAACTTCAAACGAGAAACCTCTTCGCTTTTCTTTTTAAAATAAGGTACCCGTTCATATTTAAGAAAACGAGTTGTTCATACAAAGCTTTCATCAATAAGTAAAGAGCTTCGAACTGTTGATGAAAACTAGTGAAACAGAAAAAAAGCACGGAAAGTGCGTTGATTCAGTACAAGAGCCGTCCCGAAGATAGGGAATGTTGTTTAGGGAAAACGATTCAAGGGAAGGTGAAAAGAAAATAAGGAATATAGGGCAAAAAAATTCGTCTATTTCTTTTTCGGAATATTTTTTATTTCATTCTATTGGAAAAGATCCACTTCTACAATTTTTCGGATAGCGCTTACTCATTAACTTCCTTGACCTCAACTACCCTTTTGGGTTTCCATCTTATTTAGACGACTTACCACCACCCTGCTTTGCGAATTATCGGAATATTTCTGATAAATTAACAAGGTTTAGAAAGTTACTAGAAGCTCTTCACATAATACTTTGGAATTTAAAATCGACGTTATGTTTCTTATTTCTGCGATTCCTACATAGAAAGAGTGGCAACTAATAGAGTAAATAGGAAGTGGTTCGTTAAAAATAGTATTCCGAAGTAGCCAACAGAAGAGTGCAAACATTTATCTGATGAGCATTTCTGAGAATGAATGATGCATTACAACTTGGCTGTTGACAAGTTGTCGCTGCTGTACGACCTCTATAAACAAAAGTGCATTTTAAAATAGCTTTTCTAAAATATTCCGCGAAATTGGAAACTTTAGACTGGTAAACAACCAGACATAAAGAATTTAGGCTTTTTTTAAAACTCAGCCAACGACTATGGAAGTTTCAGGGAAGAGAGTCGCCACAACAGAGAACAGTTACAATCAGGGTTTCACAGCGTTTCATTAAGCTTCAGAAGAAGAGTCCTCAGTTCTAAGGTGGATCCTGCTGAATTTGACCTTCTACGTCTAAACATTGAATCAACAACTAAGGCATGGACTTACCTTACGCTCTGTTTGTGCATGACTTCGCGAAATATATATCCCACTCATTGCATGTTTCGCAATCGAACGGATGGCCATTGTGTTCTCTTCATACATTGCGAGGAATGTGAATCTGCCTTAAATAAAACGATAAATTTGAAACATTTTATGAACTTAATGAGGTTCATTTAGTCAGATCACTGTAGAAATTCTGAAGCCAGTCCTAAATACACAAATTTGCATGCTATTTTTTTCGACTCTAAGATTATCATGCTTTGTTTGTAATCTCGTCGCTATAGTTTTCTATCTAACATAAATCTAGACCAGTGCTCTGAAATGTTTAAAATTTCATCTCTAAATATAGCCCTAAAAAAATAATCGGACGAAGCTCTCGAAGCTGATGAATCCTTGAAGGATGTGTATGAATCACCTTCGTCAAGAATGGTAGCAATGACTAAATGAATATTTACTCGAGACAACGATTTGTGGCGCTCTACTGATGAATCAAGTCAGTGTTTTCATCCTCCCAGGCAGATCTGCCTGGAGCCCATTTAGCAATCCTGGATGGAAGGGAATCTTTCTGAGGCCGAAGCACGAGATCGTGTCTGTGACTGATGCAGTGCATCCCGATCCTGTGTATCCCGATTCAACACTAATCAGAACTCTACATGTGCCTACAGCCATCTATGAGCGCACGAAAATGTCTGGCTTTTCCTCAGCGTATTCGCAGCCTAGTATTTATCAAGCATATGCTATCTATGTCTCCGTTGCTTGATACATAGACCCGATACGCAATGTTTACAATACATGCGGTGCAAAAATAATGACCGCTTTCAACTTCAAACCAATATGTCTCAATTCATATTTAACTTTATTAATTGAAATAAAGCCTTTTGGAATCGATAGAATTTTGCCCAAAGTAGACAAATATTTCTACTGTAACAAGATAAAGAGGTGTTTTCTAGTTACCCTCAAGGCTAGTATTTCGATAGCGAAAGCAAATGTACAAGGAGCATTTCGTTCAGGAGGATATGATGATATTCCGTGATGTATCGTTGACCTTTCTGGCTTCGCATTGAGAAAATTAGTAGTTTAAATTCTATTTACCATTTGTCGGAAACTTTAGACCTAAGTATCACTAAAGTTGAAAAAGTACTATAAAATGAAAATCAAGCTCCCGGCGTTGGTCAATCCCTGATGGATGCGCCATGCATTCGACTTCATTAAGCATCGTTTAGAGGCTATTGAATGCATATCTGGCCCTTACAATGACTCTCGGTAGCCTACCGATGCACCAAGCCAGTGCTGCTATACTCCCGAACAAGTATGCTATGGAAAGATGAAAGGCTTGGCTAGCCCAGGACGTGGGGAACGATCCTATGTGAGTATGGCAGTGCGCTTCCGACGACTGCGCTACACATGATACACGGTACGCATGGAATCGATCCTACCAAAAAAAGCACTATATAAACCTTAATTATGAAGGTGAGAAAATATGGCGAAGTCTCCTTCATAAACCGTTATAGTTTCCAAGTTCTCAATTGTCCTAGTGTTCAAAAAATCATCATCAGCTTTTGATAAACTGGCTTTGGATATTACGCTTGAACTACTTTAAAATCTTTAAAACAAGCTACGAAGATCAGCTGGCAACAGTTCACCCTAATTTGGAGCACTATTAAGCCATAGAAAAATAAACCAAGAAAATGAGTATTTGGAGGGGTTGCCGCTGGGAATTCCACTGTTTCGAGTTTTGTGGACGATTCTGTATATAATTGCCCAACCCTGTTCACTCATAACCCATAGTTGCAAGTTGGCTGTGGTTAATTATCAATTGCAAGAACTAGGGTGCAATTAGTGAAAATCCATTCATATATAGAACTAGTCTTTTGAGCTGAGAAATCGTTTGGAAAAGTGAATTTTTAGACTTTGTGGATGTTTCGCAATCAGCTCGTCGCTGTTAACTGCGCTTTCTCGTTATGGTGCGAACATACCCGGAAATTCTTTATATTCTTGTTGAGCAACTATGATGAATCCTTTGTTTGCTCAATAAGAATATAAAAAATTGTTCAGCCAATGCCGACCTCACTAGAGAGTCGGTCGTGAGAAATTACCTGGGAATACTCCCCACGAATTTTTGACTTCTTACATTGTGACAGTCGTAGCTAAAATTTCAGGCATAATGGGCAGTGTATGATTCAGCCAGGAGTGCCAAGCCAACACCATAAATCGTAATATTTGCGCTGTTATCAGACAAAAATACTGTTATCACCATTTTTGGTCCAGCCACACACCACTTCGATTCAACTCGGCTAGGCGGGTGTCGTGCTTGTATCGTTTTCTTCTGTGACCCAATGTGATTTTTTCAGATCATCGGTGAACCCAATTTAGAAGTGTTATGCTCGCCTGTCTAGAAGTGCGATATGTGAATGCACTGTTCACTGATACGTGGATCCATGCGCTTGCATATATCTGGACTCTATCATAGACCTGAGTTCGGAGAACAACCTGTCATGAAGCTGCTTGGAAAGGCTAGAGATTAGTTCAGAATCGACTTCTACAAATGTGGTTCATGTACAGATTCTGAGAGCACGGCAACGAATCCGCGAATATATTCTCCCTCAATTGCTTAAATTCGACGAGCTACCCATTTGTAGTTTTCGATCAAGAACTGCAATTATAGTGCGACTCAAACGAAAACAGAAATACTCACTGTGTTATGAACTCCATGGGGAACGCTTATGATGTTTATTGGTTCGTCACTCCATTAACTCGATGAGCAGTGGGTGCATGAGTGAAGCAGATGTGATATATGACATTGAGAAATCACCAGAAATAACTTGTTTACTTTAAAATATACTATAGTATCTAAATATCTCAGATTTTTTTAAATAATTAATTACAAGAATGGAGGAGTCTTGAGCTTCCATTTATGCTCTGCTGAACTTTTAGTGGTGACTTGACGCTACTAACAAGTATAGTTTTCTCCTTATCAATGGATTCCATAGTTTATAAACTTCGTCGATTGTGCGTAAGTGTTTGTCACCAGCACAAAATTAGAATCGAAACCTGCAAAACAGCTCTCATAACATAGAAGTGGAACAGGTTCAGGATCCATATTGTTGACTTGGCTCTGTTTTCTTAGAGTAGGCGTCTCATCCTTAGCTATAAGACGACATTTCTTTAATAAATTTTCCTCGTCAATTCCTTGTTATACTCCAACATCACAAAACGAGTATTCGATGATTTTTTAACTCTCGCAAAGACCTATGTATCAGTTGAAAAATTACTTTTGCTGCGTAATATTTGAACCCCTCAATAATTTCAGTTCTGCTCCTTGGAATTTTTTAGATGAGAACCACCATATTACTCGCATTTATCGCCGTGGCTGCAGCAATGCGCGATCAGTCGATCGCCGTCCGTGGCAAGCTCCTATGCGGCTCGAAACCCGCTTCTAATGTAAGGGTGAAGCTGTGGGAGGAAGATACTGGTGAGTCATATTGCTTATTTTAGTTTTCAGCTATGTTGCTTCATTTAAGTATTTAACCTCGCTTAAATAAATAGTTGGTAAAAGTCAAAGTCGAACTAGGAAGTGGCCTTGCCGATGCTTAAGCACATTCGGGTACATTTGTGAAACTCTTGTGGTGGATATGGATTTCGTTCGCATTACGATGTTTGCAAAAAAGCCAATGTTTCTAACTTTAAACTTAGTTCTGAATTACTCAATGCTTGAATGGTTTTGTGATGACCCTGTATGTTTCCTGCCTAAATGTGTGCTAAATGGCTGGCAACTACTTTTTCCCGCAGAATTCAACCCAATTCGTGTTAAAGCCATCACAGGCTGCTGCCCCAGTGTTAGAAAATATATGCATTTTGTTCTCCCAACTTTTCCTTGTTTGTGTTGACGACTGGCTCAACCGAATTAGTTACTGCAGTACTCACTTATGAATTCTTTGACACTTAAAAGAAGATTGTGCCATAGTTCCACCCACAGATGAACAGTTCAGCTATCTCGTTCATGGTCTATTTTGAGTAGTATAGGTCCCGACCCTGACGACCTTCTCGACCAAGGGTACACAGACACGAATGGCGAGTTCCAACTCTCGGGTGGCACCGCTGAACTCTCTCCCATAGATCCAGTTTTCAAGGTGTATCACGACTGTGACGATGGAATTAAGGTTAGTTTCCGTGGCCTTTCTCAAAATTTATTAAAAAAATTGCTAGAAATATGGTGCCCGTATTATTAATACATTGTTTTAACACAAAGGGGAATGACTATTAGATTTTTATTCTATTCGTTTTTTTCAATCATTTTTCATTTCTACTGGGCCACTACAGCTTTTTTATTTCAGCCTGGATACAGAAAAGTTAAATTTGCGCTTCCGAAGTCGTATATCACCAACGGAAAGACTCCAAAGAAAACCTTCGATATAGGTAGCTTTAATAACAGTATTGGTAGCTCTTCTGGAACTTACTTCTACTCTTCCATCAACTACGCTCAAATGCGTTCAGAAAAAGATCCTTAATTTTCCAAAATATTAAGAAGAACCTCAGCACGTCGAAAAGTTTGCAGGTCACTTTTGTGCAAAGGCAGTGCACGCGATTACGCAAATGGTTCGGTATGGTATTGCCGCTATCCAAAAACTCAGTGGGAGTTTTTGAAGAATTTCATTGTTTTTCGAAATGGTCTATCCACCGGACTCACTTGAACATCACTGCTTTATCACCACTGTTATGTTAACCATCTGGATCAAGTGAGCATCAACAAATACCAATTCGACTTTCTCTAAAAGTCGAGGAGATCTTTGCTCGCACAAATAACACTAAGGAAATCACTTTTAGGGATGATGTGCTCAAATAACGCTGTTTTCTGCAGGTCTCAATTAGCTCGCTGCGGTTACCACAGTACACATGGGTTTATAAGTTATGTCCGATCTGAAACTGCTTCACTAGTGATTCCCACCCACTTAATCGTAGAGTTTTGAATGAATCGATGTAGTGGATATAACCGGCATGGACCCCAACGCAACACTCACTTGCTCATGAAGATGATCACGTGCATAGCAAAGTCATTCAATTCTAAGTGAATTTGTACGTAGAACCTTGTTTGTCGCACTATTTAGGTAATCTGCGCTCAACCTTTAAATCTTTCACTTCTAGGCTCAACTAAAACGTTTAGTTCAATTTATCGTCGCTGTGGCTTTCTTTCTGCTACAAACTAACACCAGCGCGCTGTGAGGCGCCATGCAGTGACTGGCTGCCTTAGAATTCCTTGCATTAATTAGATCCGTGGCAGCAAGCAAAGTACTTCCCAACTTTCCCAGAAGGTATGGAAAAGTCCGAAAAGTATAAAGCAAACCATATAGCGTCAGGAGTTGACCAATCTAAAGTTGATTGAATATATCACTTGTGGAGCCTGCTGATGTCTACCGGCAGTATTTTCAACCACCTTCACAACTCTGGTAGCAATCGGCTGACCATAGAAGAATGGATAGCTTGGTCGGCCCAGGGTGCTGGATTGAACCAGAGGCGATGTTTATTGCAGGATCACCTCTAACCAATACGTTTAACGTGCCGTGCCAACATTGTGACACCACCAATTAATTACAGCTTCGAGACCACGTTTTCTCTCTTTCGTCGCTTTTTAACTCTAAATGAACTTGGTTTTTGGCGACTAAGCTAAGAGTTTCGAAAGGTGCTACCAAAACGTAGGCTTGTTACTGTTGCCTTTAAGGATTCACGTTTTGTATCCGATCTTCAGGAGTTCTAAACCTTGAAACGATCTTCGCCAAAGAGGAGAGGGAATTCATTGTGTCCAGAATGAGAAGAGGAGGTGTCAACGAAGAATACCTCGATCCCGATGCGCTCAAAAGTAGTGAGGACACCAGACAGCAGTACTTTCTATGGGAAAAAGTCTGAGAAAATGCAGCTGGAATGTTGAATGCTTGTGACAATGTATCGCCTTTTACATTTTCATGTTCATTTACTCGTAGCATGGTGTACCCTTGTATAAACATATAATCCTTTTAAAATTTTGGCTGTGCCTTAATGCAAATGGAGAGTGATTGAGCAGATAATATTGCTTCCACGGATCCATTTAAATTGAGGAGAAGGCCGATAGTTTGCCAATATTATAATTTAGTCTCCAGCTGCTGATTCACTAGGCTGAAACAACTTTTCTTGTCTGAACATTCATAGTGGGACACTATATGTACTTCAAAAAATGCCAACATAGCAAGAATGATGAAAATGAATAGAATTCTCTCTGGCTCATTTAAAAAGCATTAATGAGCAGGAACACACAGCTTATCCTTTTATGCCAAATAGGTTCTCTCACGATGAGAAAAAAGTTCGATATTGGAGGAAAGTTGCTTATGCTGAGAAAGTTATTGAAGTTATATTTCACAATGTATACCATGCCGTTAAAAAGAATAAAGCATTAAATAACACATTAAATTGTGATTATAACTGCGGCCTCAGCTTAACTGGGTTCGTTACCGATTTGGCCGCCCCAGATCAATTCCGTTGACGGGTGATTGCTGATGGCAAAAGATTGATAGAACTAGCTGAGAGACAGGGAAAACGAAGGACCCCGGATGGTGTGGTGGTGAAGTGCGCTGCTCCTCGGTTAGGACAGCAGCGCGTGTTCGTTCCACACCGCATACACCTGCGGTCCGGAGTTTTGCAAATATCTCAGCATCATTGAAGTTATATTTTATAATGTATACCTCCCTTTAAAAAGAATAATGCAATAATGAAAGAATAAGGCAGTAATGAACATAATTCAACAGTGAGTGAATGATGTGCCGCAGTTACACGTGGAAGATATTCTTAATAACAAAACAAAGTTTTGCTGCCTAACTCCTCTAGAACTCCCATATTATTTTTTTAAAAACTCAAAGCTTTTTCTAAAGTCTAAAACGCATAGAAGAGACCAATCTCCAATAGTTACGTCATGCATACGACTTTTTTATGCATCGTTAGGAATGAACGAATGAAGACCTTGCCTATACCTAGCATATTTATACTGTTCTGTCACCGTATTGTAACAAGCCAGTGCTCTTATTCACTTTGAATGGTCCCATGTCACTTTTCCGACCAAGAGAGAAGAGACCGACGATCCGATTGCCCGGTGTGAGGGATCGAACCAGCGACCGATTCTGCTTGTACTGTGCAAACCTCTAGCGACTGTTCTAAGCACGCCACCACTGTATTACTATTTTCATAAATGCATCGCAAAATTTTTAATCGAGAGCTCAACAATTTAAGCAAATGAGAGATTAAAAAGCTGCTGAGATATGAGCAAGACCCGGAACCTAAGGTGTGCTTCAAACTCGCGATTTCCGGAGGGTGACGTCTTATCCATTTCACCATCCGAGACCTTGCTTTCCCTTTCTCTCAGCGAATTTTTTACTCTAACGGTACAACCAACAGTAACTTGGAAACGGGAATAATCTGGGAAGCATAAATAGGGATCGAATCTTGTTAAGCCCAAGATACAACCGAAAAACGATGTTCTAGTTTTTATTTGCTTCACTCACAGTTTCTTCTTTACTCATGGTAGGGTAATGGAGTTAAACAAGTGATCTTCATACTGTCATATTCGACCAACTCGAGGTTTTCTCCGTCCATTTTAAGATTTCGTAAAAATTTCTTTCTAAATCTATGATTCTGGCAGAGAGAATAAATTTTAGAACTCCGAGTTCTTGAGCAAGAGATTTTTAACTGCCTTCATTTGCAGATTTAGTGCTCCTTTATACAAAAAAGTGTAGAAGGTGAGTTGAAAAAGTATGTTAGTTCCGAAAAGATGAATGCGTACTTAGCAATTTTCCGCTCATACACTAGTCTGTTTGTCAACGGGAACGCACCAGCGAAAACAAAGAAAGTACTGTTTCATTTAGATGTTTCAAAATTCTCAACATAGTAAGACAATGTTCAGCTGTTCCACATTCATCACTATACAGCTGTTTTTTTTTATAAAGGCTCATCACGAACAAGGCAAGAACAGATTTCCACTGTGAAATGAGGTGTTAGAATACGTGATATGAGTTCTACACTGCGATTATTAGCCTACCCAATTTTTTTTCGACAACTACCCAGGTACTTGACTTGTCAAAAATATCGATGGTGAGATATTTCCAACTTCCTCTTCTTGTAGACCTACAGCAAAGCATTGAAATAACAGTCAAAAACAGCTGAAGCATCAAAAACGTAACCCTCATGGACTCTTTGCCCAAATGAGGGGAAGAATTGCATTCTTCATGACACTTTTAGCTGTGCCTACTCAGAAGGAAAACAGTGAGATCTCACCTACTGCCTGAACAAGTGCTGCTGACCACATTACTTAGAATGAACATTCCAATGTTATCGTAGAAAAAGTTTGTTTTTAAAATTCTTTGAACCAATTAACTGAATAGATTCAGTAATCTGAACATGTCCGAATTTTCAGCTGGTATTGAATGTGTTGAAATCCACGCATTTCTAGTAGACGTTTGTTGACCACTTCAAAATGATACGAGCATTCAAATTTACAAGTGGCCAAAATTTTTCCTTCTCTTAAAGTTTGATGCGTTTAGCAGCTATTGGTTGGCAGGAGATAATTGACAGACTTGAGCAGCGAGCTCTTTTCCGATGGGAAACACCGAACGTGCCGGTCAGGAAAGTTTGAAAGCTGTTTGTGATTAAATGTAGACTTTTGTCAGATAAGGAATCGTTTACACAAAATATCGGTGCTTATTTAAAAGCAAAAATGGGCTTTAGGTAATTTACCCTAGGCTTATTAATCGTTGGCTTCAATTCAGCGGATCTCATCCTGGATCTCGTTCATTTGGATCTGTGCTAAGTAATCAGTCAAGAAACTATTCCACTTTATTGTTCGAACAATATTAAAGCAAATTGGTTCTAAGTAGGACTTCAACGGCCTTCTACTAATTTTAATTTCGTGACAGTGGTACTGAATTCAATCATCAGCTAGTGATCAATTTTATGCCGCAATTAAGGAGCTGATATCGCCTCGTCAACTTCCATGGAAGGATGACTGCTTTAAGAACAAGCAGAAAAAATTTTTGATAATAAGTCACTGGCAGATTATCTTGGTAACGAAAGAAGTAGCCAGTTATTCATTTTAAAATGATGTTTACCGGAAGTTTTGTCAGTTGCTGTGGGATCGACTCTCCTTTACTCTTGTTCAATGCTTCTGCTGAGAACTTGTCTTTTCAAAGAAATGGATGTTAAACTATCTCTGATTACAAGTACAAGATTGCATTTCAACTACAGTAAATTGTAAAGAATGCTATCTTTAAACCAAATGGTAATGCACCTTAAACGATATGATGCCGCATCCCTAAAGGTGCAAGTCATCATTAAAATTGAGCTAAAAATTTAAGGCACTGAAACTCAAGTCATAATTAAGGCTGGGGTTTCCCATAGAAAAAACCGAAAGTCTTCCACAGCTTAATCCACGTTGGGTGCTGTCGCTTACCAAACATCTCATTGCTAAGGCACAAGGTGCCGTACGTCCACAGGTAATAGAAAATCGTTGGGGTTATGCATAATGCACTGGGGAGGTTAGGTGAAAGTGAACAAGTTTTAAAATATTCTCCCCTCAAATGCCTGAGCAGTTTAGAGGCTACACACCATGAGTATTTCTGTCACCCTCCACGCTCTATGCCAAGGCTTTTGCCACTGCCTTTACGACTCTCAGGATATTCCATTTAATCCTCCCATCAAAGCATCGCTTACTACCAGATGACACTTTACAGCATCAAAAACGTGATAACACATTTGGTGAACGAAGAGCTGACAAATCTTATTTTAGAACCTTCATTAACACTCTCGCGACAAATGACCTCTGTGGGAGTCATTTCGAAGTTACACGAATGGCCGGTGTGACACAAATAGGTTCCACAGTGAGCAGAGTAAAAAATTATGAACCGCTCATTGGGGCAAAAAGCGAAATTTGGAGACGCCGACAGAGTTCTAACACACGCTGTTGTCATGTCACTCATCTCAACACAGTTTGTCTTTCGAAAAAATTAATTGATGGTTATCACATTTCTGTGTTACATTTATTTTGCCACATACAATTTACAACTTACGTAATAGGACTTAACAGCAGTTACAAATGGCCATAGCAATAATACTAACATCCTGCCACCCTTTCCTGTAGTTAGAATCGAAGGAAGTCCTTTAGAGAACACTCTTACCTACACTGAATCAACTATACTTTCCACATACAACTTTCAGCTCCCACTTAGAACCAAACATCTTTAAATAAAACTTCTAAATTCCGCTTACAATGAATAATCTTTACATAGAATTTCTTACAGGAGATGTGCACGTAATACAAAGCCTGTTAAAACATCCAAAGCAATAATATTTATTGCAATCACTGCACCTATTTCTAGACCTCGCAGTGCAGTTTGCAGCATGTTTTCGGTAGTAGGGCTCTCTGATAACCTTGCAACAACGTGCACATGTCCCCTTGTTCGAATGGCCGGCCCGGTCCTATTTTGCGTTCATAGAGTTTTTCGGTTTGCGTTGATCACTAACAACTCCCCAATCTGTCACAAACAAGAAATATCTCTCGGATCCGCACATCGGTTCTCTATATCCCCTGCTATTTTGTTGTCACTATCGATGAGAAGTCTATCGAGGATCAAGGTGAAGTCATCGTTAGCTGAGATGATTCAAGACCATTAAAATAAACACTGCAAATTACAAAAGAGGGGTTCCACTCTGCGAGACCTTTTGGAAGTAGGAGTATTGACACACAGCGTTGATCAACTACTGTGAACGCTGTGAAAATCATTCTTACTCTCAGAAACTCGAATCGAACCACCATCCACAAAAGTATCTGAAGTTTTGCGTTTGGGGGCGATTGCTACTTCAGGATTTTTTCTTCTTCGTTCTCAAAATTG